ATTATTTATTTATTTGTTTTAATTTGACCAGAGAGTGAGAGAGAGAAAGTGAGAAAGCAAGCTGCCAGGTCCAGGACTCAAACCGTGGTTGACCATGTGGGAGTCCAGAGCCCTTAACCACCATGCCACCTACCAGCCCCCAGATTTGAACTTTCTACACTGCTGACCTTATCTCCAGCTTGCATATGGCAGATTGTGGAACTTAGCCTAATAATATCCTCCTTATAGTAAATCTTTTTATATATTATATGTAAAGATGATAAATTAACATAATATTAAAATATGTAAGAAGATCTTCAAAAGTTAATGACTAAAGCATATCATGAAAACCTATGCACATATTTCAAAGTTTTATTGTACTAAAATAAACCCATATTTTAATTCAATTTTTCCCAAGAACTTTTTTTCTCATACAATTAGTTCTGTTTGTCTGAAGAACTTGAATACAATAGGTGATCAAAAAACTGGAGAATACATAATGTTGGCTTCCACCACCGAACAATCAACAATCCACTGAAGTTTTTGAACTTTGCAATACCAACAGAAGAGGGTGCCATTGAACTAAGAATCTTGCATAATGCAAAAAAAAAAAAAAAACAAGAAAGAAATAGGATGTTCCAGTTGTCCTAACCCTCACCAAAACATAACATGATCATTCTTTTTAGTTTTAGTGATTCTAGTAAGTATGTAGTGATATCTCATAGAGGTTATAATTTGCATTTTTTGAATGGCTAATGATGTTGAACATCTTTTTCTATGCTTATTTGTCACTCATATACAAATTGTTATTATTATTTTTATTATTATTATTATTATTTTTGCTATAGGACACGGGCGCACGCCAGACAGACAGAGACAGACAGAGAGACAGAAAGCGAGAAATCACCCCCCAGGGAGGATGGCCACTCCGCAATCCTTTCTCCTCCATTCTCTTCTCAGGATCTTGGGCACACATGCACACGCGCTCGGCCTGAGTTTTAAGCCACCAGGTCTGGGACACTAACCGCGGTCGACTACATGGGGTCCAGCAACATAGCCATTATGCTAACTGCTGGTCCCACCCATATATATTCTTTGATGAAGAATTGTCAAATTTTTTTTCTCGTTTTAATTGAATTCTTTGTTTTACTGGATTCCTTTTTTGCCCCCTTTTAAAACAGATTCTGAGAATTTTGAAAGTTCTTTGTATATTCTGGATAAAAGTACTGTGATTTTTAAATATTTTAAAACATTTTCTCCCTGTCTGTGGGTCACCTTTTAATTCTGTTAACAATATCTTTCAAAGAGTGAAACTTCTTTATTTTGATGATGTCCATTCACCATTTCTTTAAATTCATGTGTCATGCTTTCGGTTATTATCTAAAGCTCTTTAACTAATTTAACTTATTACATGTGTAAGCGTAAGTTAGTCCATAATATCCTAATATCCTTTAACATCTATAGACTGTCACCTCTCTCATTCTTGGTATTAGTAATTTGTGTTTTCTAGATTTTGTTTGTTTGTTTGTTTCTAATCAGTCTGATAGAACCTTATAAATTTTACAGACTTTCTCAAAGAATTTTATTACATGCTGGCACTGTCCCTATAACCTTATAGGCAGTAAATCCAGGTTATATCAATGCATATTTTAATCCAGTCAGCAGATACTGGAAACCTCCTAGGTACAGGTACTATTTTCTGCACTGGGAATACTTTGGGGATCCGGGGACCCATGCCTTCATAGAACCTACATTCTAATGAGAGTGATAGACAGTAAACAAGATAAATGAATAAAAGATCAATGTGTTAGTGGTAAGATTTAAGAAAAACAACAAAGCAAGAAAAAGAGATTCAGAATATTGGAGGTTGAGATTTTACTTTTAAATCATAAGCAGGAAAAGTCTTAATGAGAAGGTAACTATTAAAGGACACGGGGCTATGCACTCAGATATCAGGGGAAGAGCTTCAAGGCAGAGAAGGTAGAAGAAGCATAAAGACACAAGCATGCTTACTACATAAAGGAGCAGCAAGAAGGTCAGCGTGGCTGGAACAAAGGGACTACATGGGAGGGTCAGAGAACTAAGAGAACCGGCACAGGGTTGGATTGTGCCAGTCTTGTCTAGATAATATTACTTAGACTATAAACTGGAGTGGTAATGAGAGGCGCTCAGATTCTAGATAAATTTTGAAGTAAAACTCAAAAGTTTGAAACACAAATAGGATTTCCTGATTAGACAGTTTTGTTGTATGAAAGAACAAAGTCAATGAAGCAATCAGGATTATATTTCCTGAATAACTATTAAATTGGGGTGCCACGAACGGACATGGGGAACAAGAGAAGAAGTTTTGGAGAACATCACTTTGTGGAATGTTTTTCCCAAATTCTCGCCTGACTTACGGTTTTTCAGCTTAGTCTCTGCTCTCGAAGCTATTGAAAGTGAAGGCAAATACTCCATTTACTTCAAATAAAGAAATACAATAAAATATTATATTAACTGGAAGGGCCCTTAGAGATTGCTATAAAGCATGGAAACAAGACCCAAGAGGGTAAATTATGCTTTTCTTAAGAGCTGAACTGGTGATAAATGGCTGATGTAATTGGCCACCATAACATTCCATGAGCAGATGTCCTCACGGTTTACATCACTACCATGGGCTTCAGCTAAGAGTTAAGAATATCAACTCAAACAACCTTTCTGCCCGAGGTCAATTCTGCCTTTATCTGGCTATTGTCTAAGTGGGAATAAATTTGATGGTAGCTATGAGAATGTCAAGGAAAAATATGTTGTTCATTCAATTTCATCTTTATCATAAGAGAATCTCTTTTAACAGAACTAGAAACTAACTTCTTTTAAGTAACATTTATTTTGGGGTGATAACATCTTGGAGTGAAAATGAGTTAGTAGTTGGGGTTAGAAGCGGATGTTTAACATTTAACTAGTTACTTTTTGACTCAGTTAATTCATGTTGGAAGTAGCCCTATAATTGAAAATAATTTTCATAACCTGTGACAGTGCTCAGTGAATGAATGTAAAAGAATTAAAAATAAAACAAATTTTAATTAAAAAATTTAAAAAAAGAAAATATTAAAGCAAGTACTTAAAAAGTGACCAGGTTGAATGACACAATTTCTTTCTTTCTTTCTTTTTTTTTTTTTTGAGAGGGTTTTGCTATAGGGCATGTATGCTCACCAGAAAGACAGAGACAGAGAGACAGAGAGACAGAAAGCGAGAAATCACCCCCCCGGGGTGGGGAGGTGTGATCCCTTCTCCCCTATTCTTCTCTCAGGATCTTGGGCATGCATGCACATGCGCCCTGAGTGAGTTTAAGCCACTGGGTCCAGGTCGCGAACTGTAGTCGAAGACAGAGAGACAGAAAGCGAGAAATCCCCCCCCCGGGGTGGGGAGGTGTGATCCCTTCTCCCCTATTCTTCTCTCAGGATCTTGGGCATGCATGCACATGCGCCCTGAGTGAGTTTAAGCCACTGGGTCCAGGTCGCGAACTGTAGTCGACTACATGGGAGCCCAATGACATCGCCATTCTGTCAACTGCTGGTCCCTGGAATGACACAATTTCTAAGCACCCTTCTAGTACTTCTAGTTTGTGGTTCTACCATTATCACCATGGTGTATAAAATGGAAATGATACAGAAATCTATTCTATGCATACAAACATTTAAGTAACTAGTGTTCACTCTGAGTATTGGCAGTAATAGACAATAACAGAGTAAGAAGCAGAGAAGACATATGAATCTTGGGAAGAGTTTTCAAATTTTAAATTTATCAATATAGTGAGATAATATGGTAAATAAAAAATAGGTTGAGTTATTTCTCTAGGAACTTAAGAAGTTAATCTTCACCATAAAAGAAAAAGTAGGGAACCAGCAGTTAGCATAATGGCTATGTCGCTGGACTCCCACCTAGTCGACCGTGGTTCACGTCCCAGACCCGGTGGCTTAAAACTCACGCCGGGCGCGTGTGTGTGCGTGCCCAAGATCCCAGGAGGAGAATGGAGGAGAAGGGATTGCGGTGTGACCATCCCCCCAGGGGGTGATTTCTCGCTTTCTGTTTCTATGTCTCTCTGTCTGTCTGGTGAGCGCACACGCCCTATAGCGAAAACCTCTCCAAAAAAAAAAAAAAGAAAAAGAAAAAGAAAAAAAAAGTATGAGATAAGAATAACATCTTTGTGGAAAAGTAGAATTTTTTTTTTTTTTTTTTTCCACCGGATACCAAAGCATCCAGGCATGAATCAACTAGGATGGCTTCACATTGTACAAAAGCAATGGCTTCACTGTTTTCATGAAGCTTGTGTTTTCCTTTTCATCTTACTTTGGGGAAGCCATACAAATTTATAGCTCAAGTTACCTGGAAAATACTATTGTAAACAGGAACACATTGCTCACCTGAAAGCTGAATATAGCTGCAAATGGAAGTAGACACATTCCATCCTTGCTTCATAATTGGTAGCTCTCCAGCCTTTGGGTGGTTACATTATGTAGCTTTCTATGTAATTCATTGTTTGGTTTTGGAACAATTGGTTTTTAAAAACACAGATAAGGCCTAGGCACTGTGTCACATGCTGCTAAAATGCTGGGTTGCTAAAACTATACTCCACAGTCTAGGACCACCTGGGAGGCCTGGTTTGATTTCCCGTTGTCCTAAAGGCTAGGCTGTACACCCCTCAACTTAGGAGGCTGAGGAAGGAGGAGCACAGTGAGACCCATCTTCAAAGAAACGAGAAGCAAAAGAAACCTTGATTATCTTCCTAAAGACAATATGGCATAGTAGGAAGAGTTAATCTCTCCCTTCTAATGTGATACACAATTTAACAGAGAGAGCAACAGGTTCTTGGATAGATGTGCTTCTGGTTACTCAGTCAGAGGCTACAGCTCTGAGCCTGATGTTTCCAGGACTCACTATGGTCAGCCTTGGACTAACCCATAGGCCCTTGTAAACTCTTGAAAAAACTGAACCAGAGACCTGACCACAGACTCTGTTCTGTTTATCTTAGTTTTCGGAACCTTCCCTCAATAGTGTAATGGGGACAATACAGATTTCCTTTCCTTATTTTGTCAGGTATTTATTAATTTACTTTTCCCAAACTGGTCTATATTGTTTATGATATACAAAGGCGAAAAAGCTACCAGAAAATAATAAAGAGAATCTTTAACATAAAAGCCAGAGAATGATTGGGTTCAGGGGAAGATAGTAATTCAAGTAGGCACCCAGAGGTCGTCACAGTTATGTTAGTGGTAGGCAAGTTGTGCTAATGTTATTATTAATCTCAAAACTGTGGTTTTCTTCCATCTGTGTGTTTTAAAATAATAAAAATAAGATTTAAAATGAAATAGGACATTTGCAAACCTAATTTACAATATTGTGACTATAAACTTAAGAAGGAGGTTTCTATAGATTAGTTCATATCTAGTTTTAGGTATTGTAGTGAGTCCATCAATGTTGGTTTTGTTTCTTTTTTGTTTCTTTTTTTTTTTAGGGTATTAAATATTAGCTTTTTCAGCTATATTAAAAAAAAAAAACAAAGAACAACAAAAAGTCCAACAACGGTTTTCCTTATAATATCATGCTGGTTCAGGATTTATCTCCAAACACTTCTTTATATATACAAAGCAGAAATAACCAATCCAACCTCATTAACTGCAGTGAAAATTAAATAAAATAATAACTATAAAGTGATTTGCACATAGTAAACCTTCATTAAAGATCAGTTCCCTCCTCCTAGTTCTAGGGTTATTTTTAGAATTAATTAATTAATTACATTTAACCAGAACGGTGCAGGTGGGGGGCAGTGAGAAAGCAAGCTACCAGGTCCAGGACTCAAACTGCGGTAGGCCATGTGGGAGTCCAACACCCTTAACTACCATGTCTCCTGATGACCCACTTCCCAGTTCTAGTTTTATTGACTAAATATGATATATATCCACCTAATATTTTATCCAATAGAATTGACAAAGTCAGAAAAATAAGGGTAAAGATATAGTGAACTTATATTAACACAATTAGTATGCTCAAAATCAAACTGCACCAAATTGCTATTCTTCATTTTTATTGAGAGTAGAAAATCTCCTTCTGGGATTTTGGGCATGCATGCACATGCACCATGCATGATTAGCTGCTAGGTCTGGGACCCGAACTGTTGTCAGCCATGTGGGAGTCCAGCACCTTAAACCACCATGCTACCAGCTGGACCCAACATTTACTATAATGCTTTTTTAGCTCTGGTGTCTCAAGGCACCAGCCCATTTAAAAGAGGAGATTGTTGGGACCAGCAGATGGCATAATAGTTACGTTGCTGGACTCGCTCACAGTCTACAGCAGTTTGAGTCCTGGACCCAAGTGGCTTAAAACTCACACTGGGTACATGGGTGTGCATGCCCAAAAATCCCGAAAAGAGAATGGAGAAGAGGGGATTGCAGCATGGCCATCCCCCTGGGGGGGGGGTGACTTTTCACTTCTGTCTCTCTGGCAAGTGCATGTACCTTATGGCAAAAATCTCTCTTAAAAAATAAATAAAAAATAAAAGACGGGATTGTGGATTACTGGAAGACCTTAGTTGTATCAGGTGAGTAGTTCAGAATTGATTTTTTTAGTTTTCTGACCATTTTTATATTGAGATGTAAAAAATTTAATTTATTCTCACTGTTCTGTGATCTAAAAACTGGTATGTTATTTTAATCAGATTACGTTATTCTTGTATGAAAATACTCAATGAATAGACTAAATTTGTGAGAAGTGAAGCGAACATAGTCACATTTACCCTAAAATATAACTACTACTCCTGAGTTCCCTGCACGCACGCCTTCTTATAGTAAAGGAATAGAAAGCTAAGAGGGATGGCCCAGGTAGTAAATAGCAATCAGGATTCCCAGTGCAGCCTCTCTTTATTCAAAGCTATGCTTTTCCAAATATTTTACAAGGTCTCCTAAAGTTGTCTGTAGTCAAGATCCCTTAGTACTCAGTTTTCACAGTTCTCCTAAATTTGTCCTTAATTATTCTCAACTCAAAACCTTGGGTTATATAAACTCTAAACAGCTAGGAAAAAACTCCCTCAGGTTGATGATGCAGTACCTGAGTCGTGAAACTTGAATCTCCTAAAGTGGAATCCTTAGCTCTTGAGGAATTACATAAATTTTCACTTTCTACCTTGAGGATTAAGTCCTAAGTATTAAACTTGAACGTCTATGTATGTTCAACTTCTGACTCTGAGCCCTACACCCTCAGTTAAACTGAATCAGCAGCCAGAGATCTCCTTGGGGGGAGGAACCTCTTGCATGTTCTAGCCATAAGGCAACATTTTCTTATTTTTTATTTATTTATTTATTTTTTTCCTGAGCTGCTGACTTATCCAAGTGTGGTTTTCTCTGCCTGGGGGACTGCTGCTCCTCTTCCTTCCTCCTGCTATCTCCTTCATTCCTAGATTAACTGACATTTCCTTTGAGGACTTTTCTTGACTACCACCCACACTGCGTTGAAAACAAGTGAATGTAAATGTTGTATTCATTTATGTAGTACACTCCTTCTCTTTGATATTCATCACTCTGTAATCTTTTATTTACTTCTCTTTTTTCTGCCATGCCCTACCCCTTTTCTCTTGTATTCTCATGCACCTAGCACAGTACCAGGAAAATACTGATGTAGGTTTTCTGTAAGTATTTGAACTAATGAATGAAGGAAGGAACTGTTAAGATCCTGGTAGTGGGTGTGAGGTTTAATAGTGGTGTTTAGAATAATGTCCCACTAGCAAAGAAAGTTATTCCGTAATTTTGGTTTCAATGAGTAAAAACTGCATATGGCACTGTCCAACCTCATTCTCTGTAGGTGTGCCCTCTTGCACATGCCAGGCTCAAATAGCCTGAAACCAGTACTGTAAATATTTGGGTCTGGCCCCTGTGGTAGAGATTGAGAATATGTTCCAGACTGATAACTGACATCTGTTTTTAAGCACTCATATCTCTGGGAATCAGCAGCTTCAACAGACATTGAATGTTTCTATTATATGGGATTATCTTTCTTGCCCTCAGAATCAGAACCATTCACCTAAGCCCTATATGAACAGCAACTTCAAATTTACATGGACAAATCTTAGTGGCAGGCTCACTTCTTAAGAAAATGGACTGCCTCATCTTGAATGTGGGTGTCTTTCCTGACAGATAGCTTAGAGAAGGGAGGAATAAGCTCAGAAAGGTGAGAACTGGTGATGCATCAGTGACTCATAATAATAAAAAAAATACACTTACCATTTTCTCTGTGCATATGTTTTTATCACATCTTCTGAAAGAGTTAATCATAGCAGTCAATTTCTCTTATAGAGCTTATGCTGGGTGTTTTTGACTAGGTCGCCCTGATCCACTCTCCATCTTCTGCAAAATGTCTCCTGCCTGGAGGGACAGAATCAATGCAAATCTATGTAGACTGCTTCCTTGGACTCCTTTGTCCCCAGAGTTAGGGATGAGTTTAGCTCATGGGAGGCACCTGTATGATTATCAGCAAACAGGAATGTTAGATCAGGGTATCAGTTCCTCGGCTTTCTTCTTGAGGGTCTACCTCTACCAAAGGTCAGAGCCCCTGTTCAGTATCTCTGGCCTTACAGTTATTCTGTTTAACTTCTCACAGCTGCTTCTTCCCTTAAGCCCCTTCAGGACTGAGTCTGCATTGTCCTAGACGTGGGTAGTGTGTGGTACCATGTTGGATTTCCTTAACTCTTGCCCACACGCTCCTAGAGTCCCTTCATTAAACACCCTCGGATTATCCAATTTAAATACACTGTCTTCTTCCTGCCCGGAATCTGTCTTATCCAGAGGTTATTTGTGGAATTGGAAAATATGCTTGTGTAATACACAGGACTATGACAGTTGTTGATAATAGAAGGAAATGGTTTAAAGCTCTTCCTTTGATGAGATAATTGGGGTATTGCTTGTATTTCACATAAACTTTTTAATATTCCCAAGAGTACTCTCGCAAAACAGATAAAAATAAATGCCTGTGCCCAGAGTGCTACCAAAGAGCATTTCAAAGAAGGAAGACATGACACATGAAATAAATGAAACTGCAAGCTGGAGGCTAAAAGGAACAATGACATCGTGGACATAATTGTTTTTATAAAGAGACAAGTTTCTTTAACTGTTCCATTATCTACTCATGTTTTCATTCTCTTACACAGTTAGGTTTCTAGTTTATACTAACAAGATGTCAATTGATAATTAAAAACACCCCGAAAATGTATAACATGCGCAATATTTTTTTCAGTCACATTTTTGCAGGCTCCCAAATGAAAGTGACAAGCGGCTTGGAATCCTATCATTTTGGTCATGGATTACTAAGGCAGAATGTGATGTAGCATGACTGATCAAACAGAAAGTTTCTATTTGATGAAAAGAGAGGACTTCATGGGAAACATCGAAGCTAATTGTATCTGAAAGAAGAATTGCTATCCATAAAACTATCCAGAAGTTCAAGGGATTTTGTAGTACATTTTGATGATTGGTCGTTATGTTCTACATGCATCAGAAACAGGCAGAGAAAGCAGAAGTGAGAGAATATTAGTTCCGCCTTTAAGGACAAGAAAATCTCCACTCTGGATCAAGGATGAGTCAAAAGAATGCCACTAAAAAATACAGTTTTCAACTGCATGTTTGTTCCCTATTGAACTTGCTGTTTATTTGAATTGAAAATAAAATATCACACACACATGCACACACACACACACACACACACACACATACCCAGAACACACTGTGGTTCATCCTTCATATTTTGCTTTTCTTTGTCTGTAGGGTTGTATGTTGTAGGGATTTGCTGTCAGGTTGTTAGGAATAAACAGATTTTGAACTTTCTTGTTTTAGTGGGAAAGATTCAAGCATCCAGCACTTATGCACTGAGTGCTTGCAATGTGCAGCTCTGCTAAGAGTGGAGAATAAAGCAAAATAGTCTTTGCTCTCATGGGAATAAGGAGAGCCATGCTAATTGTTTACTACTTTCTCCACCCCAGAGGAAGGGCTTGGAGTATGTGGCCAGA